CAATAAATGGAATGAAGCTCCTGAAATCTGCCCACACCCACACCCCCTGCAGACCTTCCATACCCCACACACTTTTACTTGTATAGGGTTGTACTTTCCAAGGACCAACCTGGACACTTCCTTTTCTTAACTTCCTGTCACTCACACCTATGCCCATCCTGCACTTTCTTCCTTTCCCTCTTCTCTGAACCCACTCATTATCTGGCCACTATTCTTCAACTCTTGTTGTGATTTTCCAGATGTTTGAGACAATATTTTTGACATTTCTAAGTCTCATATCCCTTTCTTTAAACAGATGATTAGAAAAACAAACATGCGATCATTTCTTAGAAGTGGAGAGAGAGAGAGTGAGAAGGATGTGGATCTGGTTTTCAATGAGGTAGCCAGTCATAAGGTGGTAACTACAGATTCAGGTTCTTATACACAGGCACTTAACAGTCCTCATGACATTGAGCCTTGGTCACTAGTTGAGTCATCCTTAGCTTAGCTATTTGAAACTGCTCACACTTGCAGAAGAAAGATGATATTTTAAGATGACAAGGAAACGGAAGTTTAAGAAGCTTTCTTTGAAAAATCAGTAGCTAGGCTGTAAATGAAGGGAGAGCCATCCTTTATCCACAATATTTGGGGATTTTGCAGCCTTTTCTTCTGGAAAACCAGTTTATTCCTAAGTAGCTGGCTCTGTCTGACAAGAAGTTCTCAAACTCGCGTGGGGGGAGGGAGCGGCGACCGTAGGTGGGCGAATGAGAGAAGGAAGCCTAGAGGAGAGGGGAGGGACCAAGGAGAACTCACTAAGAGACAAATTCCCTGCTTTTTACTATTTTTCCGCGCCAAGTCTTACCCTGATGTCTCTTGGACCGAAGGCGCCCTCAAGAAAAGGCGATTAGTGCCTCGCCATCCCACTGGGCTGCAAAGAGAGGTCAAATACGGTATGTACCCTTTTCTTTCAAGCCCCTCTTCCCCACTCCCTAGTCTACTCACCTTACGTCAACATGGGGGCGGAGGGAGCGAGTGGGTAAAAGTGATGCTATTTCATCCTTAACTGATGGCTCTGCCTCGTCGTCCTCTTTGGCCGGCTACACAATCCGATTTATCCTTAGGCTGACAGATTGTCCACTTCAATGCAGCGATATTGGGGGTGGAGCTCGAGGGGTAGGAGCTTCTGAACCACTCAAAGGCCTTTCTTCTTTTAGGAATAGAGAACTGGACGGCGAAAATGAACAAGATGCCCTAGCGAAAACGTATCGCGGTCCCTGAGGAAACAGTCAACTTTCAGGCTGTGAAAGTCCTCAAGTCATTAGCATCAGATGCTGCACTGGAGGGGTGAGCCAGCGCCTCTAAGTGGCTTAGTGCACACACGAGGCTCCCGAGACGGCCTTGGCAACTCCATCCACTTCACCACCGTCTGAACGGGAAAAGCTCTCCAGAGGCCATCTCGGAAATATTTTTGTTTTGAGCCACCCTCCCCCTCACCCAGAGGTCTTACAGTCTCGTCTGCTACCTCACCCCCAACCCTGGATCCCCTGTGACTATGCGGAACCTTCCGGACTGAGGGTGGAAGAACTCGAACAGCCTGAGTCCAATCACCTGGGCTTTCCGCGCCCCACCCCCACCCCCTAACCTGTGTCTTGGCACCCTTCGGAGGTTTAACAGCTTTCCCAACCCCACCCTCTACCCACCAACCCATCTCGGGTCCACCAGAGGCTGAGCAAGGTTCTCACCAAAGCGCATCCTTTATGAATCTTGCTCAAGAGGACTTGGTAGTGTGGGCGGCCCTGGAGAAAGCTGGCGTCCGTTTATCACCCTCGAGGCAACTAGCTGTGCCAGGTACCAGCAGGTCGATGATCAGTGCATTCCTCGGGGCTAATGCGTCCCTCCACTCCTGTGCAGAACTCATACTCCCGGGAAATCCGTGCGGGATAAGAGTACGCACTGGGTTGACCCGCTTTTGGTCAGAGGTTCTCCAAGTGCCAAACAAAATAGAGAAAGGCTGCGTCCAGCCTTTTTGGTACTTCCTGTTTTGACCCTGAAACGGATTTTCCCTTCCTAGGAGTCCCAGAGGGCCGGAGCTTCAGGAGGTGGCGAGCCGGGCTGCGCTTGGAGAGGTGTTGCCACTCGGGGAAGGCGTTCAGGACCTCCCCGGCGCTGGCAGGCCCGGGAGATGGCTGCGAGGCAGGCGGCGCCGGAGGGAGCGCCCAGCCCAGCAAAGAGTTAAAGGGAGGGGACGTGGGCTGTCACGCGTCATTGGGCAGATTATGTGCAGCAAACAAAAAGTGTGTGTCTGCGTGCCAGTCAGTCACTGCATCGGGTCCATCTGTACAACTCTCTCCGCTTTTCTCTCTCTCCCCATTTCTCCATCTCTCCTCTCTTTGCGCAGAGCCTACCGGACAGCCACACCAACACCTCTTGACATGGAAATATACTGATACAATAGACAAAAAGAAACATATATAGCATCTCCCTGTACCAGTTGGCCTTATTTGGGAGATTTGATTCTGACCTTATTCCTGGTAAGTCTATTTGCATTGATGCGGGAGGGGGATGGGAGGAAGGCAGGTTCAGTGCGGAGAGTGAATTTTGCCCCTCATCTCCTCATTTTCCAGCAGAGGTGGGAAAATATTTGTTGAGGGGATCTGTACCACCAGTAAGATTATCCAAAAGGCGGAGCGGGCGGGGAGCACTTTGCTCGAGAAGCGAGCGACTGGGGAGCGCGCGGCCACCAGACAATGCCTGCGCCGGGAAGGGAGGGAGGTGGCTGGCGGCAGCCGCGGGCTTTAGGCGAGTCCAACCGGCTTTGGGGAGGATCCCCCCGGCGGATGAGAACCGGGGGCCTAGAGCGGGTTTCAGTGCTGACAAGGGCTGGTGGCGAAGACCACCGCGCTCGGCGGACGAACCCAGGCTGTTGCCACTGCTCTCGGCAGGCATCCCCTGCCGTTATTGTGGCCCGCGCAAGTCTCGTAGCGGCGCTGGCCGCGGCAAAGCCGAGCGCTATTAGCGCGGCGTAGCGAGGACCTTTTCCCGGTATTGTTAGGTAGAACTGCATTTTAATGACTGCGTCCCTGCTGTTGCCCGAAGTGACAGGGCGACCTCCTGGCACAATGAAACGCTGGTGTGAAAGAGACTTTAAAAGGAAGAGAGAAATTGGAGCATAAAACGTTGAACTGGAAGGAATTGAAAAGGGGAAGAAGAATAGGATTCTGTTGAAAAGGAGATGCGAGGCTCTGAAGTTTTGTTTGCTTTTAAAATTGTATTTTCATCTGCAACTGGAAATCGAGAAGTCTACCTTGTGTAGGTTTTTACTTTCTGAGTATTTTATTTCTATCTGACGGATAGATAACAGCTTGACATTTGGAGGCTGCAGCCAAGTGAATGGGAAGAAACTGACCAAAGTTTCAGGATCTGTTAGCTAGAAACAAAAGCAAGCAACCAAACAAAAAGCCCACTAGCTTGTCAACACATTTGCAAGATTAATTGGTCAATAAACATTAAGATAAAAATGGACTTACTAATGTTATCCCATAAAGAACAGCTTCTTAGGAAACTAATTAGATCTACTCTTTTCTACCATTTAAATTAAACAAAATACACATAAATTATCATCAATGGCAACATTATTAAGGGAAAAACAGCCTGGGGGAACCTTTTGATAAGTCAGAGAAAGTCAACAATTCAGTCAGTTCAAAGTCAACTTTAAAATGCCTATTTGTTTGTTTGTTTGTTTGTTTAACAATAAGTCTTTTAGTGGCTCTCTAGTGAAAGACGGAGAGAAATGTCCCTTTATGACAGCTTAATAAGAGAGTTCTCCATCGGGGCATTACTTTCTAAATTGCTGTGGATTAAACAGCTGGAGAGCCCACTGAAGACTATTCAAGCAGGGCTGCCCCTTCCTGCTCAGATAGAGGTATCTGGGGGAGACAGAATTCACCAGTCATTACACACACAGTATTTCAGGCTGGGGACACTTCAGGCCTGCCCTGTACCTACTCACTTCATGAACCACATGTGACTCAATCCACCCCCTTGTATAACAAGGTAACTGGGATTCACCCTCATCCATAAATAAGCATGCCGAGAAAAAATAATTACCTCTGCTGGCTGCTTTTAATTAAAGCCTCCGAGGGACAGTGCTGGATTATGATAATGAGCAGACATCCATCCCCTCTTGTAGGCTGCAGAGAAAGGTTAGCTGACATGGAATCAGTGGCCCTGACACTCCACTTGAAATCCATTCGGCATGCTTGGCTGTCTTCTCCTGCTCACTAATGCGGCTTCCCTCTTTGGAAGAAAAAAAAAAAAAAATCAGTCCCTGGCCACCTAGTTCAATACATAAGAGGAGAGGAGAACAGAGGAGAGGAACTTTCCCCCGTGGGTTAGAAGTTTCTTTCAGTCAGGGAAATCTATGTTGTTGTTGTTGTTGTTGTTATGTGCCGTTGAGTCCGACCAGACTCATAGCGACCCCTCCTTGGGCTGCCGAGGCAGTAGCACTGCCTAAGTAGATTGCCCAACCTTCCTTCTGAGGAGTGGCTGGTGGGTTTGAACCGCCAGCCTTCTGGTTAGCAGTCAAGTGCCTTAGGCACTATGCTATTAGAGCTCCTAGGGAAACCTATAGGCTACTAAAATAAATCATATTGTTCTCCCCTCACCAGTACCCCCCAAAGCCTATGCCTCCTCTCTCAAGGTAATACAAAAAGAACTTAGTCTTCTCTCAGCCTTTTTTTCTGTCCTCCTTTCTCGCGAAGTAGCCAATCTACTCCAGATTTTCTCTATTTCACATAAAAAAGAAAATAATAATAAAAACAGGAAAGGAAAGCACCCCCTAGTTGGCATCTTTAAAAGATGCCTGATTTAACCTGCCACTTGCTTTATTTTTGTACCAAGAGGTATACAAAAATCAGACGAGTTCAGGAAAAATCTTTCTAGTATTTGAAACGTGCCACCTACATTCATAGCACTAAAGGAATAATGAAACTTGTTCATTGTCTGTGTATCTGTCTCCAGTGATGGAGGATTCAGGCATCCAGCGAGGCATCTGGGATGGAGATGCCAAGGTTGTCCAACAATGTCTGACAGATATTTTTACCAGCGTTTATACCACCTGCGACATCCCTGAAAACGCTATATTTGGCCCTTGCGTCCTGAGCCACACTTCCCTGTACGACAGCATAGCTTTCATAGCTCTTAAGTCTACAGACAAGAGAACAGTTCCTTATATCTTCCGGGTAAGTCTTGACCAGTGCTGTGTAGGTGTATGAGAATACTATTCTGTGAAATAGAGATCCAGAATCATTCTTTTGACAAACTGAGATAGAGTCTAATGATAAGAAATGCAATGATGCAAGCATTACAAACACTGAGGAAAAAATAAAATTAAACTCAAATTATAATCAATTAATTTTCTGGAATAAATGACAGTATTTGATTTGGAATGCACTAAATCAGTGCCTCAGCTCTTGGCAACCCTGGCCGTGAACACAACTTCCTTGACTCTGGGAGATTTCATTGGAACTGCAGCTATTTACATACTAAGTACTTCTGTTAGTATAAATATAACGTCCATTTGCCTTCCAACCCAAGTAATATTCTGAGTAACATTCTATGGTCATGTCAGCCGGTGCCGGAGTTTGCCTTTAAATAAAAATGTTAATGATTTTGACCTTAGAACATGTTAAATTCACAGATTTAAATCTGAAGATAAAAGGCCTCTCACTTTCTATTCTTTCTTTACAGAAAAGCTATTAACTGTTGAAGTCAAAATTTGGAATATGGAGGTCACAGGGCAGTTTCTAAGCGCTAAGCTTGCTTTTTTAACTTCCAAAGTAAGCAAACTTCCCCACACTTTTGTAATGTGGGGTAATTTATAAGTAATATTTCAAGAGACTAATGAGAATGTGAATTGTAAGAGGAAACTTCAGTTTGTGCCCAAAATATATAAAAAGCGATGACTTAAAGAATTTACGTGGTTGAATTGATGCAGCGACTCAAAAGATGGGGTTATCTTGTCTGCTCACTGCCAACATGAGGATGGGTGACAGACAGCTTGGGTCAAGTTTTTTGGAAGCTTGATCCCAGGGGAAGTGGCCCAGGTTTCTTCTGGCATCATTTTCTCACAGGGATCTCCTTCTGTCCTTTTCTCTCTCCCTTTGCCCTCTCCTTCCTTCTTGTCTTCTTTTTTAAACTGTAGGTGGACACCTCAGCGGCAAACGGTTCCTCAGAAGGTCTTATGTGGCTACGTCTGGTCCAATCAGCCAGAGATAAAGAAGAACAGAATCTTGAAGCCTATATAAAAAACGGACAGCTATTTTACCGCTCCCTCCGCAGGATTGCTAAAGACGAAGAGTTACTTGTTTGGTACGGGAAAGAACTGACTGAATTACTCTTGCTCTGCCCCTCTAGAGCACACAACAAAATGAATGGTAGGTTGGCTCGAGACCTGCGTGTGGGCCCTTCGCTAGAGGGGGTAGACGCAGGGAGCGGCGGGGCTCACCGTGGCGCTTTGGGAGCCCTTTTCTCCCTTTGTGCGTCTCGTAGGCAGCTTCTGAGATGTATGTAGTTCGGAATGCAGCTGGGCAGATAGGTGAGGATAAATCGGGGGACCACTTAGGTTACTTTGCTCCTCCAAATCAGAAGAAAACGTTAGATCAGGTCTGACAGACTCCAGCCTTGAGAGGGGAAAGTGGATTTGTGAAGGGGTTCATGCAAACTGTCCTGGGGGCGATGCTGAGTAATCATGTGGTGTACATGTATATGTGTGTGGTGTTTGCTCACTATGCAGGGTCGTCCCCTTACACATGCCTGGAATGCAGCCAGCGTTTCCAGTTTGAGTTCCCCTATGTGGCGCATCTGCGCTTCCGCTGTCCCAAGAGACTGCATAGCGCTGATCTGAGTCCCCAAGAAGAACAAGGCGGCGGCGTGGGCACCAAGGACCACGGGGGTGGCGGCGGAGGCAAAGACCACCAGCAGCAGCAACAGGAGACACCCTTGGGCCCGGGCCCCAAGTTTTGCAAAGCCGGTCCCATCCACCACTACCCGGTACCCTCCCCTGAGAGCAGCAACCCGCCGGCAGCCGGAGGCGGCGGCGGCACTGCAAAGCCATCCACGGACTTCCACAACCTGGCTCGGGAGCTGGAAAACTCCCGGGGAGGCAGCAGCTGCTCCCCAGCCCGGAGCCTCAGCAGCGCCAATAGCAGCGGCGGCCACCAGGAGGCAGAGCGGAGTCCCGACGGCAACGCCACGGGCGGCAGCAAAGGGAAGAGGAAGTTCCCGGAGGAGGCAGCGGAGGGTGGTGGCGTGGGGCTAGTGGGCGGCCGGGGCCGCTTCGTCGAACGACCTCCACCGGCCTCCAAGGAAGACCTGGTGTGCACACCGCAGCAGTACCGCGCCTCGGGCAGCTACTTCGGCCTGGAAGAGAACGGCCGCCTCTTCGCTCCGCCCAGCCCCGAGACAGGCGAGGCCAAGCGCAGCGCCTTCGTGGAGGTGAAGAAGGCGGCCCGCGCGGCTGGCCTGCAG